ACTTATTTGATATTAAATAGAAAACACTATATATAAATATTTGCATGTTACAGATCAAACAATAACAATAAGTAAGGACGAATCAAGTCAGGTATCAGGTGAATTTCATAAACATAGCTGCTCGGAGAATACATCTTGTGTTGAGTCTGTAATTCTAGCTGGTAGTTCAACCAATCAGCAATTTATCTCAGATTCGTGCAATATTGCTGAGGAAAGCTATAATATGTTATATAAAAACAGGCATCCTTTGTTGATGGATGGTACATTGATTGTATCAGATGGAACATCATATTTGTCAGTCAAACCAGACTTGAATAAATGTATAAATTTATTTAATAATGAATACCTGGATAATGAATATGATGGTGCTAAAAATCAATTAAGTCCTACACTATCTGAAACTAATATCTGCCAAGACATTAATTTTTGTGATTTAAATAAAAAGTTCATGGGACAACAGGACCTTAATAATCATCGACGTTCTATGTCAGCAGAGTCACTGAGAAATATAATACTTAATCGAGAACTTAAAAGATCAAAAAGTTACACTGTGCTTGATAAAGCTTTGAGGAGGGATAGGAATTACAATATTAAAGGTGACCAGCTCTCTTTTCCTACTAAAAATACAATGAAGAAAACAAGTCATGAGGAAATTGAAACAGTTGTTTCTTCTTTTGAAGATAATTTATCATTATCAAAATATTCTTCTTTATTAAACAAAAAAGATGATTCTCTAAAAGAAAATCAGCATAATTCAAGCAACGAAATGAGTTCCAAAGACGAACTTAGTCCTTTTGAGTTAAAAGTATTGCTACAGTCATTGACAGATCAAAAGCTATTGAAAGAAACAGCTGTGCAACAACGTTTGCTAAGGCGTTTATCTGTAGATTATCACGATGCACCAAAAGTCTGTACAGAAAATTTATTAACGATAATCGAAGAATCTGTTATAAATGACGATTCTCACGCACAGGCACAATATCCAGAACTCAGTTTATTTAGATTTAACGAAGAAATTCGAAAAATGTGCAAATTTCTAGAGGACGAGACCGTTCCTGAATGGCCAGAGTCTCCTGGCATGTCGACACCAATTTGTACGAAAAGAAAAAGTCGAGAATCTAATGATCTCTTGCAAAAATCTATAAATGCTTTATCTCCTGATAAAGGCCTACATTTTACAACGCCTGCTTCTTCCCAATGTAATAATAAAAGCCCCAAGAAAGCGTGTTTGCGTATGTCAAAAAATACTTCCTATGTTACAAAAAATTTATTGAACGATACAAATACGTTTGAAAGCTTAGAAGCGATGTGCAAACAATTATTTCCTGATAATGACTATACTGTCCCAAGGGAGAAGAATCTGTTACAGTCTCCTTTACAAAGTATGGCTAATATCTTGCGTACCTGTGAAAACCAAATGGCCTCTCTGGAGAATTCACCTATCGTTCACGAGCAGATAAAAAAAGCTGGAACGTGTACTTCGGATTCAACATATCAGCATAAAAAATTACCTGAAGAGAGTTTGGAATATAGATTGTTAGTAAATGAAAAGTACGATAGAATGGATTCGGAGGCAGTACTTGATATACTTAAGCAGCAAACAGAACATAGTAAGCGTCAAGAAATGATCGAATCGAACGATTTTGAGGGTACGGTCATGTATGAAATTGCGAAAAAAAGACAGAGGTGCCTCGACACAGCAAAGATAGTGATGGAAATTGACGAAAATTTCAAGACGATGGAAGAAATTCATCCGAATATCAATGATTCTTCGATTGAAGTCGACGATAAATTAATGAAAACTCTCATGAGTGTAAAGAAATATCAGGATTATTTGGAAAGGTACAAACCTTTGATCAATTTATTTCATCGTACAAGATTGAGTAGTCCTCGCACTCCTTGTAACAGACAAGATGTCCAAGCCGAGAAAACGCCCAACAAAGATTTTAATACTTGTGCGCTGTCAGTCGTATTAGAGGATAAGCAAACTTTACAAATATCGAATTCTTCACCGAGAAAGAAGAGTATTAGTCCTCCGTCGACAAAAAAACCGGTTGTTACAAAGCCACGATTATTTATAACTCCTGGGAAGACACTCGACAAGAATTGTAAGCCGAAGCGCGCGTACTTTCCCAATTTACTACCGGGAATGAATAAGCAAAACAAGCATGTAAGTCCTCAAGCGAGGAACATTTATCGACAAATAGGAAATTACGATCATGTAATATCGCCGGTTGGAGTATACATAAAAGGCGCAGAGTTCTATCAGACCAAAAATCTGAAACCTATAACAGACAAAACGCTATTAACACCTAAAAAAAAGTCCACACAATCGCCCAATTCAAAAATGGAACTTCAGCTATCTCCAAAACCAAAAGAGGTAAATAATAATAATAAATATATAAATATAATACGCAAGATCTGCAATGTATTACAAATTTACCTCACTTTATATTATATTTCAGAAGCTGACTGGAACAATAGGAGATGAAAATGTTGCCGATAACTTTTTGCATCCAAAAATATATTACAATTATCCGTCACATTCACGTGTAGTACGTAATAATTCGTGTATCAAAAATTTAGTTAGTTAATTTTAAAATAACGTATTAGTAATGATTTAAAAATTGTTTTTAGATAGAAGAAACAGAAAATCTAAAAGTGGGAAATTGTGGAATTGATTGCGCTGTACAAAAATAAAGATCTCATACGAAGGTAAAATTGTATTTATAAACTAATTTAACTATACATATATACATGTGTAACATTATATGTGACAGTTAAAGTGTTAACTCAGTAAACTTATACATTTACTGTAATTTGCTGTAGTCAGTATATAATATTTACTATACGTAAATGTATACATTGACTATATATATAGTAAGTGTATATATTTAAAGTTAACTCTGACTGTGCATATATATATACATATGTATATATATATATGCACAGTCAGAGTTAACTTTAGTAAATATATACACTTACTAAATGTATATATTTACATATAATAAATGTATACATTGACTACAGCAGACTATACAGTAAGTGTACTCTCTAAATCTGAAATTTGTTTAAAAAGTACTAACGAATTTACTAAATGTAAACATATATTTATTTAATTTAAGTATAATTTTTTAAATTAAATGTTTATTTACTGTAAGTAAATATTTTGTTAGTACTTATTCAAATAAATATTTTATAAAATTCAGTAAATTTTTTTTCAGTACAATAGGTAACTGCAGGTAAAAAGATTCCAGATGAATGGAAAAATATGTGCTTAAAATTTTTACCAAGATGATATATACAAAATTTTCTAGCCAGAAAGATTTTTTACGTTTTTTTTTTTTTCAAAAATGGAAACTAAAGGAATCTTAAGCAGTATATTGTATATAAGAATATGTAGTTAAGAAAAATAATATTAGAAATAAATATTTATATGTAGTACAATATAATATTATATAGTCCAAATTCTTTGATCTTCGTTTTTGAAAGAAAAGATAAAAAATGCGACACGCCCGCATATATTTAAATTTAAATTTTGCATTGTTTCAGGAGGTACAAAATAAATCTAAACACATGGAATAACCCGAAGTTCTGCAGAAGAAAACATTCTATAACGCATGTTAATTTGTTTTTATGAAAAATTATAATTTTTTTATATATTGATTAACTAAGTTTTTATTAAATGTGCAATTTTATTAAATTGTAAATTATTCTTTCGGATCACCAATTATTTTGCATTGTGTTGTAAAATCACTATATTTTACTGCATACCATTTTGTTTTTCTTCCTGTGATATTGGAGATAATAGAAAGATTAGATCTCTTTTTCAAATTTAAACCTATTTCTTGAAATAGTATGCAGTAAAATAGATATAATGAAGAGAAATAACGTCAAAAGTCCACACATTTCTTATCTAATAGCAAATTTACCGACTTGATTCTCAAGTTTTATCATCCTAATATTAATATTATATTGAGCATCATTACAGTTACAAAAAAGTTTGAGATAATATTACACACATCGCTAGACGATAGACCTGGGACGTAAAATAAGAGCGAGAAGAAAACGCGGATGACTTTTTAGTGGGAATTATTACGAACGAAGCTCGACAAGAACAATTTTACGAGAAACGTAAAATTTGCTGTGGAAAAATGGCGCAAAGATGACAAAAAACTGAAAAAGCCCGATGGAAAGATTTCGAAGAGTGTGTAGAATTTATCAACTGCGTGGTTTTCAGAATTTAGAATGTGGAAGGTTCTCTCTTTCTCCTTCGTTATCGGTATGACATGCAAGGTGCAACAATACTGCGTCGTTTCTTACAATTCTCGTGATTGGTTTTCTACCGATAATGTCGACAGGGCCGTCGATCTTGAATCAATAATACCTTCAAGATCTGTGCCAATATCGCACTGAATTTTTAGACAATCAGGAAGGAGAATACGAGGACATGTATTGTCTGCGTGATTTGAGCGCCCTTGATATGTCGGACTTGAAAACTTTTTTGAGCTTACATAATGTGTTACTTCCTGATACATATACAGCAACATAGACACCGTAAAAATGTATAAAAATTTATAAATAAGTTCGTCAAATGAAGATTGCAAATAAGTTATTTTCTACAATTGCTTCTTTTATTACGTATCCAAATTTATTCTACATTAAATACCTGGTTTATTCATACAAAATAATATCCAATTTATGCTTCTGTACGTTAAAATAAATTTATTAGAGATAATAAGTCATAAAAGTTAAGATATCCGAAGTTAGTATATCCTTAAATTTGCTGATTAAATTTATTTAATTCAATATCACTTCAATTTTTATATGTAAATCTTTTATGAATTGATTCGCATCGTATGATATTAATATTTTGAATTTTATGACTATTAATTTTGCATTTGATAATAACGAATGTCTTTAACATTGTATTAAGAATTAAGACATAAACGCGCGCATTAATTCAAATTAAATGTTTACAGGAAAGTGACAATTTTTATATGTTGAGTCTAAATAGAGATAACGCCTCTTTTTGCGTCATCCTAATCGACAACCTGTTAGAAAAACTCGTGTCGCTGGAGTCACACGGCCCTGAGAAATTGCGCATGGCACGCATGTTGACGATTGCACACGCGGCACATTGCGCTTGTCAAGCCGCTCGGAACCAAGCCCCCGACCATGGTGGGGAACAATCGATAAATTCGAAGCCACGACGTTCTACCGGCGAGTAAGCATTCCGCTGCATTATCTGAAAGTTCAAGTCACAACTGTGAAGCGACGAGCCAAAGCCGACCAAAATGCCGGGACCAGGATGTGATAAATGCAAGGGTGAGTATGCTCATAAATACTTAATGAATATTAATAGAGAATTTGACATGACGTTTCCTCAATTATTACTGTTGCTCTTTAGAGGAATTATTGAGGCACAATGAAAAATATACATGCAGAAAACATATCAGTGTTTTTTAAGGTGTCACGCGATTGATTTATAATTATCATTCGGCAGTGCATGGTCAAAGGGCAATTGATAGTTATTGAATTATTGAAATACCTTGTTGAATAATTGTTGAATGTTATATACGATTCTTAAATAATGTGGATTCTTAAAAATATATACGCCTAGAATTGTATTCTTTCTAATATATGTGTGTATATTCTAATATATATCTTTAAATTCTACTATATGTATAAATGTATAAAGATACTTATTTAATACATTGTAATATGTATTCTAAATATATTTAATACATTCTAAACAATTATAGGTGAAAATTTATAAAATATATTTTTTTTAATTAGACTGATAAAAATAAATTAGATAAGAAACAGAATTCTATTTTTTAAGTTCATTGCAGTGTTTAAGAGTTTTTTAAGAGGCTTATTAACATCATTTTTAAATTGACAGCCAATGTAATTTTTTGTTATTTTCAGTTTGTAGTTGTGTTTTAAATTCGACATACCGAATTGACATATAAAGATTGAAAAATGCATTTGTAAATTTACATATATTATTAAATACTGATGTCTGCTTTGACAAAAAATAGGATTCTGTTATTTGATTTTAATTTATTTTGAAATTTCTAAAATAATTTTTTAAATTTATTACAGACAAATGCCAGGATTGTAAGTGCGGTGACAACTGCTCGTGCTGCGATTCCGGATGCAAAGGTAATATTTATATTAGAAATGTTAACAATATATTTTGCGCACTCGCTTTTCCGATTGCGCATTTCGCTGTTTGTTCGTCATGCCTCTCTAACGAGTTATTATTCTTAATTACAACCAGTTGCGAGCTGTTGAACTCGTTTTCACAATACCGTATCGGAATGTCTCTTTCCAAGCAGAATCGACGAACGAGAACGTGCGCCACCTAGTAACTGTACTATTTTTTATTTTCTATCCCGGACAATGACCGGTTAATAACGGCTGACGCCTGCTAATATCCCTTAACACTGTACATCGCAGTTCCGCGGGACTTGTGGCGCAATTTCGTTGTGCGACGCAGTTGCGCGTAATATATTATTCGAATCTTCTATGCTATACTTACGGACATTTCGATCATTGTATACGTAATGAGTCACGGTTTTCCGGAACACTGCATTCCTTTTCTGTTATTTCACTCTCGTATGTCTCGTTATTATTTTCCTTCGTTTTTATTTTCACAATTTCATATTTTACATTATTGACGTAGCAAAGAGTAGTAATATTAAAAATTTTTATTTGCAAAAAATGAGAAGAATAGTCGACATTTTTAAAAAGTTATTTAAAGTGGCCTATTTATTAAATTTTATATAAACGATTGCTTTTATCTTTTTTATAGAAAAATTTAAACCTTCGCCTTTATGATAATAAATTATATTTTTTTTATAGATCAATGTGGCTGCAAGACACAGGGTGGAAAATGTACGTGCAAGCCTTGCACCTGTTAATTAATAATCATGTCAAGGACAGTCCATGTTGAAGGTGATAATAGATCCGTAATGCGCTTAAATAAATCCAACATGTGCGTAATATTCCAAATACATTACTATCAATGTAAAATTATTACATTACTATCAATGTAAAATTTTATGCTTAGTGAAAATTAGAGATGCGAACCTTCGTTTTCTTGTTAGATAAACAATCAATGAATTAATAAAATTCACTTTAAGTACATTGTATGTGTTATATGTTTAATACTTTTCCCATTCTTTCATATGCTAACAGTAATACTGCCATACATTCATATACACAGTAATGAAAGATTTTTTAAATATAACATTTTTGCTGAGAATAATATAAAAAGTTAACAATCAATTCTATCGAAAATACTTGTTCAAATTAAAAAAATAAAACAATACATTCTAAATCTAATCTTAGTTTTTAGAAATTAAAAGATCAATTTTTTAGCAATAAATTCAATTTTTACTCCAAGAATTTCAGTTTTTAGATTTAAAAGTTCTAAGTTTAAAATTGAAAAAGTCATATAGTGTCCACTTGATTTCTAAAAATTGACAGACCCAGTTATAAATAAAAGCTTTTTTATGACAACTCGCGAGATAGTGCTTATCGTTATCTACAATTCTATTGATATTTACGTAATTCGTAAGATTCGTAAGATGTAACTGATGTCTAAAAAACGTATATATAGATATTTTATAACAAATATTTTTGTAATCAAGCTTTAAATTGTATTACAATGATTTCTCTATTAAAAAGTTTTATTAAAACTGTAGAATATAATTTTCTCATCTATTTTTTTTATGATCCTTTGAATTTTATTTCTACATCAAATAATTCCCATGATTAGAGTCCGTTACTTCATGTTTTTTTTTTTTTAATTAAATTTATAATATCTGTGAAACAATTGTATTTATTATTAGATGAATTTGAAATTCGATATTTTTTTCTATTCATTAAAACATTCTTGAATTTTAATTATAAAAGAAACATTTCTAATTGTTTAACATCTAATTGCGCTCGTTTGTTTCCTCTTTCTTTTTCCAAAGATCAAGATCTGTTTTTTTTAGTTGAATCTTTTTGTGTGTACATATATAGTTCATCTTTTCTCTTTTCCTCTTTTGTGTGAAAAAAAATAGATAAGACGAACCGTATAAGAAATTGAATTAAAAAGAACGAATCTCAGATGTACACACACAAGCATCATACTAATCATAAGTGCAATGGCAACAAAAAGATGGAATGATACAAATAGCGATAATAGCACTTTATTGCCAGGTTGGGAGGATTTCCTAAATTTAAAAGTATTTCTTTTTTTACCGAAGGATTTTTGGGGGTACAAGACATTTAGAAGAATTTTTGGGGGATTTTAGGAGAAAAATACAAATAAATATTAATTTAAATTATGGCATAAAGTATATATAAAGTATTAAGGACATCTCAATATATAGGGATAAGTTTCGAATAGATCCGACAACTCTATAATAGCATCTCCTTGAAATTTGAACGAGCGCGCGCGATCGCTGCGATGTGATTGGTTGCCTCAGTTCCTCGATTTGAAATTTCACAGGATCTCCATTGCGCGCCAAATGTTGGAGCATTTGACGCGAACAAACCTTCAAATGTAAATATGTTGTGTGTATCGTGTGTCATCTTGTATGGTGTATTAATCGAATAATTGCGATCAAAGGAACCAGCAATCCTGGCTTGCTCGTGAATATTCTACTCTGGAAATGCAGCTAGGATGCAACGTGTAAGATCGTCATCAGGTATTTACGAATGTACCAATAATCACGTACAGATTGTTATTGAATTCGCTGAGTTTAATTTCTAACAGGAGAAAGAATCATTTAATCATGTTCTATTAATTCGCGAATTAATATAACAATCCGGTGGCGAATTTGACAGTTTAAGATTTTTCGGTGTCGATCTGATGGAAAATCCGATACCGGATACAGTTTTTGAGAGATAAGGCGACAAATTCATCGTCAAGTGTGTCAAGCGCGATCCAAACTAAATACAGTGATATAAAGGAAGTACATATTTGTATATACTTAAAACAGTAATTGATAACTGATGATATGGTTTTATCATGTCGCAATATTATTAATTCACAGACGCGCGCGTGCGTGTGTGTGTGTGTGTGTGTGTTTATATATTATAATTATATCATACAAAAAATTTTACACAAGTTATCATTATTGACCAACCTGAAATAATTATAACTGTAACAATAAGGCAATTGCAATTAAATCAATTTTTTAAATATATTACAAGTTTAGTGGAAATTTGGTTTGGAGATCTAAAGTGTGTTTTGTACATTCGTACAGACGTGTGCTTAATGTACACTTACCGACTAAAAGATTGCAACAGATTTTTTTTCTATGGTTTTTAAAATGCAGCCTACTCACCGAGCGATTGGTTTTTACTTCCATAAGTTTCTATCCACGGATCCATTTAAGCTTCTTTTAAAAAATAGGGGCTCAGGTCCAGTACTCAAAATCTATACACAGTTGGAAAAAATGTGTTGAATTTAACATAAATCGCATGTCCCAAATGGTTCACTCAAATGTTTGAGTTAATTTTACACAAGATGAATATGTTAGAAGGTAACACAAATATTATGTAATAGAATAAATACAAAGAAAGATAACATCGATAGTTTGTAAAAAAACCGTGAGAACATATTTGTTTCAGAAAATTAACATTTATGATATGTTAAATTAACACGTTTTTTATTCATTTACCTTAAAATTTACGTTTTAAAACACATTATTTTTGTGTTACTTGTTCACTTACTATAAATTGTGTCATTTTGACACTAAGAAACATTGAATATCAATTTCACTAAAAATTTTTAAATAATATAATCACATTATGTTAAATTAGCACTCGAATATGTTAAAAATTCAACACAAAATTTTAACAAGAACGTGAGTGGACCGTTTCCAACATAAATACACAAATTTTTTTACTGTATAGTGCACGTAACGTAAACAGTAGATTTTCAGTGCTGGCAGTAAATTATAAATAACAACCATGATAAATAGCGTACCTATGGTAATAGTAGTATGTTATTTGACCATCAGTAAATCATAGTTATCCACTCGATAGATAATCGATTTCATTTTACGTTCGGTCGGTATGTAATTAATCGTGATGTTATGTTAATATACATGAGGGCGTACCAGTCTTCAAAAACTCTAGTCCTCTAGTGCCTATTTCTAGTTTCTATCAAATGTAGATTCTTTGGTCGGTGTTCATAGTCAGATCTTATATTCAAGATCGTCTTAAGTACAGTCTTAAGAAGTCATGAACCAATCAGAGCGACGTATTATAGCATCTTAAGACATTACTCAAGACAGTTTTGATATAAAGACGGATTATGAACATACCGCCCTTTATTTCGGTTCAATTTACTCTTCATCTTTTTCCAATTCTTACAGAGAAAAATGTATCAAATTATAATAAATATTTATTTAAATAGTATTAAATGAATATTTATTAAATATGAACATATATTTATGTGGTACAAGAATTATTAAATTGATGTTACTCTATTATTTTTTAATTTAGTAAATATTTATTTACCGTAAGTAAATATTTAGTTAATACTATTCAAATAAATATTTGTTAGAATTTAGTATATTTTGTTTCAGTGTTGAATTATAAAAAAAGATGAAGAGTTCGTCGAATCGAGATTAAAATTACACTATCTCAAGCAGAACGACGAGTCACGATAACGTCAAAATGACATTAAAATGAATCGGAAATTATTGAAAAATGACTTTTAGTGATCATTTTGGAGTCATTTTGACATCATTTTGATATTATAATGACTTGTTCTGCTTGGGACATTATTGGTAGAAATAGATATAAAAACCCATTCCATCAATGTAAGATTAACTTCAATCTCAGTTTAAAATTTATTATTTTTTTTTTTCAATGTTTAGAATCAGAAAAAGGTAAAGAGTAAATTAATCAAGATTAAAGTTAATCTTACGTTGGTGGTACTGGTCTTAAATTAATTCACGATTAAATCTTTTCAGGATTTTTTTTACTATGTTTCGAGTACTTCGAATAATTAAACGAAACGCAAAGCGTCTATTTGTTCGCTCGTGTTTTTTACGGTTTCTAAATATAGTGATAACGATATTGAAATTACATTAGAATTATTATATACTAGTGTCTATATCTCTATATTAATAATATTATAATTATGATGTAAATGTTAACTTCTTTTATATTACTTTTTTGCTACATATATACATATATATGTATATATATTCTTTATTTCTGTTTTTAACTCAAAGGTTTAAAGCAATAATATTATAACCTGCAGCCAAAGGGCGATTATTATAATGCGATGACGTCAAATCGTAGCGAACAAACTAAATGGGCAATTAGTCACGCGTATATAACCAGTCATGAATAAAATGGGGTAAATATTTTCGCTTCTATTTATTGAAGCGAATGCTTCGTGCAACGTGAATAAGCTATCATTATTAAACTGAAATCTCATGCTTAATGAGACGTAAAAATAATAATCGTTTAATGAAAACCTTTCATCGCTAGATTAGTAATTAATAAATTAATAAAATTCAGAAATAATGATTTTGCAATCATCGATCAAATAATGATCGTAGCAATACATTGAACTTTAGAAACTTTTCAGAAAGATATAGATAGCATTTAATTAAACGTTGGTGGAGGGAAATCGTATTAGTATTTGACAGAAAATATCGCCGGAAATATGTTCATCAAACACGTCCAGTCTTTCTCCGTTCAAACGCGTGCGCGCGCTGCATGAAATTATTTTAGATAATATACAGAAAAAATGTTACGGTTGCCACAATGATAATTGTAATAATGATAAATTTTGGTAATAATGATAATTTTTGCTAATCAATATATTTGGTTGTGATAACCGTAAAATGGATATATCTTTACAGCCATAATCGTTAAGATATACCAATCTTATGATTATCATAATCATACTACAATTCTCTGGTTCATGAGAAATTTTATACATTTTTTGAGTAGTTACTAAACAGTTACACCAACTTGTGTCTAGTAACTGAGAAGGAAAACTACTTAGGATCCCAATCAGGATGCAACACTTTGTTTGCAGTTACTGCATACAAAAGTTGCATAAAAACTGAATCCATTTACTAAATAGAAACATAACAAATAATGGATATTAAATTGATTAAT